GTTTATGTTAAGCATGATTTTCTTGTCATACATAAATTAGTGTTCATAGTTAAGAGCTGATCTTGCCTTTGAACAAGGGTTGGACAAAATGACTTCATGACCCTACCAAACTCATTTTGTGCACATTTGCGATTCTGTGCATTGCTATGATTTGCTGTTTGGTGGCTTTTTAGCAAATTTTTTTTCTGATATCACAAACACTACCACACATCAAATACTGATAAGTTTTGGTGCTCCACACGACACATGTATGTGGGTCAGAAGCATATACTATAGAAATACATAATTTATATTAAAATAAATGTTTTAAAGAATGCAATACTTCACTAAGAATTTAATACTTCTCCTTTTTAAGATCCTAAATTCTTTAGCACTCAAATGTTGCTAAGTGATGCTTTTAATATAATGCACAATTGTCACAATAAGAGTTGGCACTCATAATGAGATAAGTGAAAGCTAAGCTACTTAGTGGTGTTGCCTTCATCAGCACTTAGATCAAAAACTTTATAGTTGCTCTATGTAGTCTTTCTAGAAAAGTCACAAACCACTGTTAAGTTCTAGATTTTATGTCCAACTTTGAGGAGAGAACATGTTTTTATGGGAACTTGGGGATCTTTTCGCTTTCCTTTTTTTTTGGCAAAATGAGGAGGTGAACTTCAGTACACTCAGCTTTCCCCTTCCAGCTGCCTACCTTGGCAATGAGAAGGTACTTTTGCATTCTGAGTTCGAGCTGTCTTCTCAGTAGTGGAAAGCAAGGGTGAAAAAAGTCGATTTAACATGATTCTGGCACTGTCGATTGTTCACAAATTATTGATCAGGGACTTGTAGTAGAAAGGCAGCATTCAAAATACAGCTTGCCGTTATTTCGAGTTAACTCCTCTCGGCAGGAGTCATCTTCCTGGAATGGCCCCACAGAGACTGGCTTAAAATAGAAATCATTAGGAGAGAGACGCAATGCAAAAAGGCAGTGGTACGGGAGAAAACAAAGAACCTAAGAGAACAAGGACATTAAAGTTATTCCCGGGTTTAGTTTTCTCCACCTTCATCTGATTTTGTGTCAGTATAAAGTTAAGTCCACATTCTGCCTTCGTCCCACCAGGCTGTAGCTCTGCTTGTCTCCCACTTCCCTGGTGGAAGGGAAGAGGTGCAGGTGTGTCTTCCCTATGGACAAGCATGAAGGGATGCCTGAGAGGACCGTGTCTATGACTGACTAGTTTTCCCGCTAATGCCGCTACCTGTTGTCATTTAGTGCAGCTCTGGGTGGGTTTCTTGCAGAATCTGTATTGAATGCCTGCAAAATTTTCAGTGAAAGTTAGTTTACTTAATAAGCATCTAAAATAATTAGGCCAAGCATACCGTCTTTTCCACATTGAGAGAGGAAATTTGGTCTGTAAGTCTAATAGTTTTTGAACAGCCAGTTTCCCTGGCTATGGAACTCGGCAGTGACTGCACGCGCCATCATGCAATATGTAGCAGTTCAGTCATCAAAGAGCATAAGCCTTCTCTAATTTTCCTGCTAGGAGCTGCTGTGGATTATTTTCCTCTTTCATCTTTGTACAGAGGACGATAGCATGTCTTCAGTTTAGATTTTAGAAATTAGAGAGAGGAAATAGAAATCTTGATTTTTATAAAAAATACTTCAACAGTGAGTTTGCGTGTGAGCTTGCTTACGATTTGGGATAACTGTAAGAGCAAGAAATGAAAAATACATTTCATGTTAAATCGTCAGCAGTTTCAGCTAGCCTGTTGCTACCCAAATCACTACTAGATACATTGTTTTCCTGTATTCTGTAGAAAAGAAAAACGGAATGCAATCATCTGTGTATTACTCCTCTGTAGTTGTAGTTGGCTTTAAAGTATATCAAAGCAGCTGGTCACAGTCTCGCTAAGCAAATAGTTACCGATTTACTGGTCTTGTATCTTATCAAACCTAAATGATTCTGCTCATTTGACAATAACTACACAAAATTAATTCTAATCAATCATATAGAAGGCATCCCTCAGGTTGTGAGTCGTCCTTGAGGGCAGCCCTAATAGGGGATAATATTGCTGACTTTTGAAGAGAACAACTGGGTTTATGAGGCTTAGCCTGGAGTACAGTTAAGGTATGATGGTTCATTTTGTGAAACTTCAAGGTTTGTTTGTGCTATGTTGAAACAAATCCAGAATCATGTAAAGTATCTGGCTGAAGTCTTCTACATCTCACAGGACTACTCTGACCACCAGGTGACAGGTTGCAAAATTCACCTTTTGTTTTCTTCTGGTAAGAACTACACTGAAACAGAAATATTTTCTTTTGCTGCAGAAAGCATTTTGCGTCAGCTAAATGAAATCTTGCTGAAAGCGAAAGCAAAAAAAAGCAGCCAGAAATATTTGACCTTAATCTTAGTCTCTTAAGTACCATAGGATTTTGTTAACTTTTGAATGACAACAGCTTTCCCAGTAAGATAGATATTTATAGCATAGACTCAAACTGGACTTGGTTTTGAATAATGTAGAAATCACATAATCAATTTTTTTATTCACTGTATCAATGTTTGTTTTACAGGTAAGAAGGTGTTTTCAGTTCCAAATTGATAGCTACATTTCAAAAAGATTTTTGTTATTTCATAAAATTATGTTAATTAAAGCTGTGAGGTACTGAGATAGAGTATCAGAGAAGGAAAAAATCAATATATGGCCAGTTCATTTATATACACAAAATATTTCTCTCAAAATGTAGTAATATCTCCTATGAAGGAAGAACAATTGAATACTTAAAGTCCCTCAGCTGAGCAACGTCCTGACATAGAATCAAGTTTGTTTTGAATTATTTTCTTGGTCCATCTGCTTGGTCAGTATGCATACCTTAGTTTTTTAATGTATGGTTTTAATTTATGTGGGGGTCAAACACTATAGAAATGCTTTTCTTTTTAATGCTGATAAATGAGAAAGACAATTGAATTCAGTGATTCAGGCTCTGATTAAGCATTGCTTTCCTGCCTATGAAAACTTTGGACTTCTGATGTTTCAAATTCTGAACCTTTTAAAAGTAGGAGATCATGCATTGGTGGTTAAACAGTGGAAGGCTGAATCTAAAGTATTATTTTATAAGTAAATATTAATATCTCTTATTTACCAAAATGAGAGACAACACAATTTAGATGTAAAATGTAAAAAAGCAAATAAAATGTTGAACTAATTATGCTTTCTTTCAATTCATGATGCTACCTATTTGTGGAAAGATCTGGTTTTATATTATTTCTAGCCATCATAATGCAGTGTCTTCCTGATGTGAGATGTATGCTAGACATTGTTCAAATACACTGCATTTGTCTTCGTTGCCGCAGGACACTGCCACAGTAATATGGTAAATAATAAGTGATAAATAATGTAAACATGGATCTCGTTGTTCAGATAGGCTGCTAACGCAAAGCTGAGCTATCCAATGCCAAGCTGAGCTATCTGACCCCCTCTGTTGCTCTTCACCTTGATCACACCACCTTTCATGGATGCTTGTCATCTATCACCTTTCATGACTCCAGCCTCATTCCTTCTACTTTTCAGCTTACTTCTTTAGCGGTTCGTTTCGTGATGAGGCTTGGATCCTTTCTCCCCTTTGCCCTTTCCATCTTTCATTTATACCCACTACTGATTCCTGGCCCCCGCACAATTTCAAACTTCTGTATTTATATGTGGGTTTTAAATCCACCTCTCTATTTTTAATCTTTCTTCTGGTCCAGTCTCCCACATCTCATTCTTTTGCTATTTATTCTGTAAACACAAACTTACACCAAATTGCTCAATGCTTTTACTTGGAACTTCACGTTGTGTCAAAAGTTGGCAGCGTCATTATATTTGTCCTTGTCAGCATAATCTGTGACAACAGTTCTGGCTTTTCACTAGTCCGGGCACTGAACATGCAGGATGTTTTTAAAAACAAACAAATTCAATGCAGGTGTGGATTAATGGTACAGAGCTCTAATTGTGAAGCACCTGGGATACAGATATTCATGGGCAGCAAAGCGTTGTTCCCAAATGAATTTCACTGACGAATTTGGGCTCAGCTCTGTGTATGTAGGCCAGGAGTGGCACAAAAGAGTATGCTGTCATTTTCAGTGGACAGATACAATCTCATTCTGTAAATTTGTCACTAGGAATCATTGCTGTTTTCTTAAAGAACTGAGGAGGAAGGGAGGAGCTAGGAGGATGGAGAAGGACTTGACGTAGTTTAAAGAGTCTGCAGAGCTTGTGGAGCATTGCCTGGGATTTCCCTGACACAGGGAAGACCACAACAGCTCCAGCTCTGATGTGTTAGCCAGACTCCAGCCCGCACTTCTGCAAACACCACATACCAGAGTACTGAAATGCATTCTCGGAGGACAGTGCTATAGGTATAGAAGGCCGGAGTGTTCTGCAGTGACGGAACTGCACTCCTGTTTCTGTCAAATAAGTTTGCTTAGCCCTGGGTCTTTCACCTAAAAGAAAAGATTGGAAAGGGAATGAAATTTTCAGTCTTTTTGTAGAGAAGAGCGTTCTAGTACCTGCAGTGGCCATGGGATCAAGATGAAGATTGCTGCGCTTCTACCATAACTCTTTCTGTGAGCTGCAGCAGATTGCTGTAAATGTTCTTGAGGTTCTATGAACCTCAAGAAATCTATGAATGTTCTATGAACCTCAAGAAATGTTCTTTGAACCATTTGCAGGTTCAAAGATGTATGTAACTCTGTTAGCCACGGAGTTCAATGTTTTCTTCTCGGGGCCAGTGGTAGCCTGAGTCCATTGGTACACTGGAGCAGTAGAAGTCCCGCAGCAGCACAGCGTTGCTGGAAGCCTCCTGGCAGCAGTGCCAGGCTTGGGCTGGCTTCACCTCCACAGCTAATAGGGTTGTCAGCCTTTAGGTCTGTGTGCAAAATTGTGTTTGCACGTCACAGGATTTTGTTTTGAGAGCATAAGTCAGCAGCACGTTAGAGATTATTTAGGGAATTTTCTCTCTTTACTTTTTTCTTTTGATGTTGCAGGAAATATTCAGGAAGTCATATTACAAGAACACTTGGAAAAAGAAGATGAAATTCTGGTTTCCTTGGCTGGTTTGAAGCAGGTATAACTACTGCTTAACTTAACCTTCTTGTATCCTTCAGTGCTATTAATCCTTTCTTTTTGTATGCTTCTGTTTTGTCTTCTTGTAGCTGTTTTACTAGTACCAATGCATCGAGCATTGCAGCATAATTATATTTTTAAAGGTAAAACTCAGTTATAAAGAGTTCAAATGACTTGCATGGTATTTGCTCCCTGAAAAGCTCTGGTTGCCTCAAAGTTGCAACACCAACTTCTGGACTTAAGCCGCACCATCATTTTTCTTAATGCAGTAATCATGCCTACGTCCCCATATTTTAAATGTGATGACACTTGAATGTCATTGAATTAAAAGAAAAAACACTGTGTACATAAAATGAGAATGCTGCTGAGCATCTGTAGCTCTGATTATACTGTCCTCTGCTCCCTCAAAATACATTTATGAGGAACGATGTGCCACGTGTTAAACCTATATAACAAGGCAGGCAATAATCTTAACAGTTTCATTCTCTTTAGATTTCTTGGGTTATTGTTGTCCAGTCTCTGCTACTACCACATTTCACTGATATTTATATCTTTAACCAATATAGGTATGAATATTGACTTGCTTCCTATCTCTTCAAAGCAAATATTTTGGAGGAACAGTGTATGAAAGCATGCTGCACGAAGCTTTAGAAAATTTAGAACTCCTCCAAATTTCTAACCTACATTCTTTCCCCTCCCATTCAACAACAGATCAAAGATATCCTGAAAGGTTCTCTGCGTTTCAACCAAAGCCAGCTGGAAGCTGAAGAAAATGAGCAAATCACGATAGCTGATGATCATTACTGTTCCAACAGTCAGAACAAGGGGACTGGTGATGTCCTAAAGGGACCTGTTATGACAAAGCAACAGTTCATCTCAGGACAACAGGTGAGATAAAAATATCTCCTACATGAAATTAGTCTGATACTTCCTTTAGCATGTCTAGACATCACATGGGAACAGCATTGCTGGTGCATATGGAGCCATGGTTAAAAGTGTCTTTCTAGCTACCGGTCCTACTCCCATCAATTATTTTTATTGTAGCCTTAAGATCCACACGTAGATATTTAAGTCTAAGTGCTATGCCATGTTTGTGGGGCTTCTTCTATTGGATTGTTGAATCACAGACTCACAGATTAATTTCCTACAAAAAGATGTAAAAACTGGAGGTAAATGTTCCCATACCAAATGTTCCCATATGAATATTCCCATTGTCCTTGTCCTCCAGAATCCCATTATGTAAGAGCTGATTATCTGCATTGCAGTGTATCCATGGCCAGTGCCAAAAAGGAAATAGCAAAGAGGTTGCTTTTATCTTCTACTCCATTGTATTGACTTTCTCCTTGAATCAGTAAACAGTATTTTCTCATACAAAGCCTACAGTCACAGGACAAGTTCACACACAGAAAGAGGTATTTTCCTTTCATCTTAAAAGGTCCCTTTCTGTCTAAAACTTGGTCTGACTCAAATGTGATCTTAACAACAGTACTTTTGTATAGGCACATTTCTATATCATTTTCAATATTAGAGTTCTAAAGTTAAGTCTGCTACCCTGATACTGATACTAACACTTGTAAGTCCAGTGACAGCACTATCACATAGAAGCCTAACTGAGTCTGCAATCAGTTTACTCTTTACAAGTTTACTAGCAGCTAGAGGAAATAGTTATTCATTGTCAGATAATGACACGGGGTCGTTTTGATTTATTACGCACAATGCCCCTGAGTTAGAACACTCTGTGTTAAAAATCATGTTTTAATTGTATTTCAGTATTAGAAGCAATACCAAGATTTTAAAATTTTTTTACTTCGTAATGGCAGTTTCAAAGGGCAAAGCTTTGCTAGAAAGCTTTCATTGCTTGTTTAGCTGTTGTCATTATAATCACTACTTTCTGCCACAATAAAGGCATAGGTTAAACTGATGTAGCATATTGGAGTGTTCCTATAATGACCTATTTTTGCCCTCCATCCCCTAGCATTTTCTACAAAGTACCTTCTACTTTCTTGCCAAAATGGCAAATAGTATTTTTTTTATGCTTTTTACTTAGATTTGTTATCGAAACTGGAAGGTAGAATGCTATGTAAGATAACAAGGTGGTGTATGAGTGCGTGCAGGCCCTAATGGTGCTGGAGAAGCCCTTACGCAGACGGTGGTCTAAACCGTGTGTCAGGGAGCGGAGGTGCAATACTTTCAGTATTGGGAGTGGAGCAGGTGGAACCTGCTCTGCGCAGGTTTCTTTCCAATGGAAGTTCACAGGGCGATGTGTAACGAGGTCTCACCCCAGCACATAGTCAAAGTATACGTCCAGCCACGGGAGCTGAGAGGTGTCCGCAGGTCCCACAATTTCCGTGTGCTCCGTGAGGCTGCTGATAAGCCGACTGCGAGTGACGTGAGCAGAGGTTGTACAAGCTGAGCTTCTGCATAGCATTAATAAGGCTTCAGCACTGCGTGGTCTACGTTTGGAGGTGCGGTGCATTCATGCGGATTAGCCTCCTCTCCTCTTACCTTCTGGAAGTTCCAATTATGATAATGAGCAGCAGCCCCTCCGACGGAAAGAAAAATAAAAGATTAGGGTTAGAAATGGCAGTCCAGGAGGACTGGTTGTATCCCGATGGTCTGTTGCTGTTTCCAAGCTCATCATCTTTAATCACAGTGTCTAAAATCAAACAAAAAGATGAGAGCTTTGGTCCCCTTTTAATAAAACACAGGAAAATAAAACTGCTGAATTTAGTGGGCTGTGACATTCGACTGTTAATTGATGGGGTCAATTGTTGGCCCAAATTGGGCCACAGCCCAGGCTTTTATCTCTGCTGAAGAAAATGGGCTGCACTGATGCCCTGGGTCAAGCCAGGAGTACTCACTGAGAGCTGCAGGAGGATTAGAAATTCCAACCACTTCTAGACCATTTAATGTATTTCTTGGTAAATAAATTTTACTGTATTTACATTTTCTGTGACTTTGGTAATGCATGTAATTCTGTTTGATGTGACTTGCACTATAGATATTTTTCTCTGGTGGAATTATAGGGATATTTTCTAGGACAGCTGGAAAAGTTACAGGTGTATCTATCATGTAATTGAGATTAAAATCTGGTCTTTTGTGCTTGGTTGTTATATAAGCATAAATTATTATCATCTTTACATTTTTTAAAAGTGCTCTTCTTTTTTGCCTCAAAATCCCTTTCTGGAAAGTGAGGATAAGGATACAGCCCTTCTTTGGAAAGGAAAGCTGCAAAATTAAAAATGAAAAAAAAATTAAGATAAAGGCTCAGAGAAGTAGAGCATTTTTTGGAATGTTTGGCTGTGGTAACAGCGTGCAGTTGACAAACAGAAGGCTTCTGTTGCTAAATAATGAATGATAATTAACACATTATCTTGCCTTTATGTCTGTTCAAAGAAGGAGGCAAAATGTGCTGCTGTTCTTCTAAGCTTTCTTGAATTGTATCGTTACAGTTAGTTTTAACTCATTCACAGTATGAAGGCAGTTGAAATAAGCCTGGTCCTAGTAGCTGATACTCATCAGGAAAAAATGTTTGGAGAAGCCATATGGCAACGGGAGTAAGGTTGTTAACTTTCAAAGCTACTGGAAGTATAATTCTGTCATTTTTCATTTATTCAGTAGTGGCAGCAGATGGGAGAAAACATGGTTCACGTCAGCATGAGTTTCCTGAAACAGAAACAGGCAGAAGAAGAAGGGAGGAGGTATTTTACCTCTGGAAATATCAGTACCAAAATACCAATGTATGCCAGGGATAGGCAAACATTTACAGAAGGCCCTTTTATAGCATTTGGGAGTCAATGTCTATGCTTTGCTGCTTCTCTGTTATTTCAGTGAGCTATAGGTCTCTTTAACTAAACCAAAAAGTGTGGGTAGAATGAAAAGTAGTGTTGCAAAGCGCAACACGTAACGGCAAGAAACCAGGGTGAGTGGTTTCCTTTCCTTTCCCTTTATTAAAGGGCAGGATCCTTTTTTTAACTGCGCAAGAGCACATTTTTGGAAGCAGAATTTAGGAAATTGCAACACCAGCACGGAGTGTTTATGACAGAGGGCCCTTGCTGGGGCTCACTACCAAAAAGAAGACACCCCGTTAGCATCCTTGGGGCTGCCAGCGAGGAAGATAGCGATCTCGCTGGGCGAGTGTGTCACTAGGTGACATCTGTGTCACCCTACACAAGGTGGAGCCATGTCACATGTGAGGGCTGCAAGGACTGAAATGGTGTGATCTTGATAGCTTGGAATAATAAAGCGTGTAATTTTGCAAAATGAGTCTGTACTGCGTTCCCTGAGAGCTTTTAAATAGAAGTGTGGAAAGAAGCTGGGTAAATTATGCATTGGTGGTTGTTTAAAGGATTGTCTATTTCTGTTGTCTGGGGAGGGGGACAGGAAACAAAGTGCTGAAATTTTGAACATGGCGTTTAGAGCTCCCAAAAATTCCTCACCTGCTCCTGTCTTGTTGGCTGCACTGGGTGCCTGGAAAATCAGGTGACTGCTAACGTGTTGGTGGAACAGAACCACGGTTGTGCGGTGCCTGTGTCCTCAGCCCCCTGGAGATGGCAGCCGGTTGACTGACAGCTCATGAAGATAACATTTCAAACAGACCAGATGAAAGCAAAAGGCTAATTAATAACAAATGGTGTCTCAGCTCAGAAGGGATTAAATAGTGAAGTATCCCTCCTTGTAGGATAGATCTGTTTGTTTTTAACTTCATGGAAAGTGCTTGAAGCAGTTGACATTTGAACTACCCTGGTTCTGCACAGATGAGGAAGTTTGAGATCAATTTTGACAGTACGCAGCACAGGATAGTTGTTGATATTTCTGAAAGCAGTCTGCTCGTTTTGGTATGAATTTTATCAAATCATCTGAGGAAAATGAATTAGTATCGAAAAATAATAGATATAAATTTCTATCAGTTTGACGACTGTGTTACACTGGGACCTGTAAAATTGTAACCAATACTCTGGATTTAAGATATTCCCATTTGAATGAGACAGTATTAAAATGGGTTAATTACAAAACAGAATAGTATATATTATTGTGCCTAGATAATAATATGTTATTATTATACCTAGATACTCTCTAGATAACAGAAAAACAATTATAAATCATAAATGCAAGTTATTTTAAAAATTTACTGTAAAGGGAGACATTTGAATCCTTATTCACGTACATTTTGGAAGAGAGCAGGTAACAAATTCTGTATTTGAACATATTTTCACATTCAACTGATATTTATCTTCTTTGTGACTTTTAACAATTTGGAATGACTACGTAAATAATACCCAAAGACTTCCAGCTCCCTCATTTCACATTACAGTCATTCTTAATTACTGGTGGGTTTTGGTCCCTGTGCTACTCTACAGTTCCCTTTCAAGAGAGCTCTGCTCTATAAGCAATAATCAGAGCAATGGAAAATTGTTTTCAGCTGTAATAATAAATTCAGCAAAATAAGTTTTGCTGGAGGTCATGGATACCATAACTGGAAGTTGTGGCTTGCCGATACTTGTGATGACCTCCATACTCCAATTTTACATACTGTGCTGAGAGTCTAACTTTATCTCATTCAGATCCTTCCTCTTGTTCTTTTTTGTTACTGCTTTTTTTTTTTTGCCTATACTTGTGATGACTTCCATACTCCAATTTTACATACTGTGCTGAGAGTCTAACTTTATCTCATTCAGATTCTTCCTGTTGTTCTTTTTTGTTACTGCTTTTTTTTTTTCTCTAGTACCTACAATCTCTCTTTTACCCCAAAGTGAATTTACATTTTTTTATTTGGTGAAAGAGTCACAGCTGAAGAGCTTGTAGTTGACACACATGTCAAGACACACATGTCCCCAGCTGCCCTTCTACTTCTTCTCCTTTTTCTCAGTCTCACATTTAGTGTAATCAAATATATTGGTTTCAATATCACACCACTTCAGGATACTTGTCCCCACAGGCTGCTTGGCAGGTTGCATTATTACGCTGAAAAAATTTGTGTGACAGCAACTAAGAAAGCAGTCATATTCTTGTCAGAGGAACATAGCGCTAGGTAGGAGTTGAATGCACCTCTTGCAGAAGAAAACAAAGTGTTGTCCATTTGGGTTGCAACCAAGCTAATAGGCTGCCAGATGTCAACAAGTGAGAAATCCCACACTGCTGTATATGGCAGTCTTCCCTTCTAATTACATATAGCTCTGACTGTTGAAAAGCTGGATTTCTCTTGAATACGGCTAGTTGGAATATGAGATTGCCAGTTCATAGGGAGTTTTTTGGTACACTGATGTGTGGTCTTGATCTGCACTACCTGAGTGCTCAGGAACATACATTTCTCAACGTCTAACCAGGCAGAAGAGGGATTCCCAGACCCTTTTTTTCTGGTAGAGTTGGGAAATGGTCGACGCTAAGCCTAGAAACCCTGGGATCCCTGATCTGCCAAACCTGAACTGGTACACCCTAAACCAGGTCTGTGTACAGCTCAGATCTCACGGGTCAGGGTTTTACTAGGAGAATTTATATCAAACCATTCTCCTGACAGGCTCCAAAATGCCATTATACGTACGAACCAGCAAAAAATTCCTCAATACTGCTTCATTAATTACTGCAGAAAACTAACAGCAGTGAGGATATAATTATTGAAAATCTTCACGACTGTAATGTGTGTGTTAGATGCTGAGCTGCTGTGTTCACTACATGGATGCACTATGGTGCTGAAACATGTACGGCCTCTATACCCAAGAACCTATTTTTAGAGTGTTAGGTTTTATGCCGTTGTAAATAACATATAAATTATTTCATCCGAAGTTAATGCCCACTTTATTTTTGCCTTCGTGATTTGGGCATTGCTGCTTTTGGATAATGATTATTCCTTTATCCCATTCCCGTATCACAGACATGCATCATAAACCTCGTTAACTGGTACTAACTTTACATCCTTTCTGTGCTGTTGTCTCACAGACTACAACTGATTCGAGCACTAGTGAGAGCAAGAGTGCTGATGACTATATTATGGTTTCCAAAGAAGAGGAGGGAAATAAAACTGCTGTTTCGGAGCCAGCGCAGTCCCTTCAGGCACACAAGGAGGCAGCGGTGAAGCCAGAAGCTCCGTCTCGTTCTTCTTTGATATTCTCTGACCCACTGATGGGCTCCGTTTCAGCCTCTTCCAGCAACCTGAGCTCCAGCCCTGATGATGACAGCAGTAATAACAGCAAAGATTCTGACTTTGCTATTGTCAGCCCACTGGACATCTAAAGAAACAGGTTGGGAGAGTTTGAGAGGTCGATCGTTACAACTCAGCTCAAATTCCTATGTTTCCACGGGCTGGATAGTTCTTTGGATCAGAAGGACAGAAAATTGGTAAAGGTAATCCATTTCAGCTGCCAAAAGCCTAAACTAAGAATAATTAAAAAAAACCCAAACCCACAAATTTGCAACTTTTCAAAAAGAATAAACACCTTTTAATAACTGCCTTAAATAAAATCCCAGTAAAACCCAGTTCTAATATACAGTTATTCTTAATGATAGAGTTATCTTACTTAGGAGCTTTCTTACTATAGAACTGTTGCTTTCCCAAAACATAGAATAGTACGTGCTAGGTACCATAATGGATTAGGAAATGTGTAGATACTTGGCATCAGACCTGAAGCAGCAAAGGCAAGCTAGATTTAGTGTTGTTCCTTTACAAAATATGCTTGACTGGGTTTTCCGAGCAGGAAAGGGTACTGTTTCTTCAGAGACTGTGATTAGAGGAGTAGGGAATGTATATCAGAAAGATTAAAAGCATCATCCTGGCAGTAAGCTTGTTCTCAGTTGAGGAATCCTAGTTTCTTCATTTTCATCCGGCGGTAGCCTGAGGTGCGTTCAAGGCAGAGGTTTGTGTAGTTGTTCCTCAGCGCTGTCTTACAGGAGAATATGTGACAAATTCCTTGAGAACGGGGACCTATACAACAGAGCCTTATTTCCCTT